AGAATCCTACAATGTATAAAAGTAGGCTGCAGCCTTTTTATTTTTATCTGGTCAGAAATGATGATGAAACTGTTGTTGGTATTATCCCCCCGTCCCCGCCCTCTGCTTCCTCCAGTTTGTAGGTTACTGAAAGATTTCACCAACCACAGAAAAGAAGATTAGAGAGGAATTAATGGTATTCCTTTGTCATTATAGGAATAAATTGATATTTGGCGGGGGTGGGGACAGTCTGGAGTTGGAGCAACATGATGTGTCAGGAGACGTAAGCAGAGGGATGGCACAGTGACAAACAAACTCAGAGCCAGGGGGATGCCAGTCTGCTGGATATCTCAACTGATGTTCACCATGTTACAGGAGATGAGAGAGCGGGATAACGCAGAAGCAGCCGGGCGCGCGCGTGACGGGACAGAATGAGAGCTGCTGGGACATGGACGGCGTCAGTAGAGGACGGGGACAACTGTGACATTGACTGGGAGAGACCCTGACGAAGTGGGAGGGACATCTGGGTTCCTCTTGTCTTTGAAGCCCCAGCTTAACCATGAGAGTGGCCTTCCTGGCCTTAAGACTGATGTGCTTGGCCTGGTTGTGGCCTGTCACTCAGCTCAACAGCAGCCACTTCCCGAACAAGAGAAGAAACAAGGAGCTGTACGTCGGAGAGAAAGCTAGACAAAAGCACGGAGGGTGAGCAAAAGTGGCGTTTCTTAGATGAATCTTTGATTTACTATAATTGTGGAGCTTCTTCTTATGTGGAAACTGACCTTCATGGGTGATTTTATGGACATCATTTCCATGTCCTACTTTGTAGAGCTTTCACATGTAAATATGAATAACTGCATCTTTTTGCGTTTATGTCCACTGATGGTAGATCAGTGTCAGAGAAAGGTCATAGCTTATGTGCATTGCTCAGAAAATTAGTGTTGATTGTTGCTGAATCTAAAACATAAAACGATGTGAACTTTGGTTTGGTTTTAGGATAACTATGACATCCTCTCAGTGACTAAAGTCATTCAGGAGTCAGATATAAATGAAAGAGGCTCCACAATATCAAGCTGAGTTACACATGTGCTAGAATGCAGTGGAAAGCAAAAGTACTCATCTCCCTTTGGCTACGGCCTTTGCTTTTAATCAGAGTGCTAGAGTCCATTTAACCATCACTAACACCATCTGTCAGTGCTGTTTTAAGTGTTTGTTAGAAAGAAATCTAGACAGAGAGAACGATTTTACTTAAGCTGTTGTTTCTTCTCTTTGCGTTCCAGACGGGTGGATCTTAAGATGAAGAAGTTGGACAGCACCAAGTCTCTGCTAATTAAGTCTGAGCAGCTGCTTCGGATTGAAGACCATGACTTTGCAATGCGCCCTGGCTTTGGAGGTAACACACACACACACACGCACACACTTGGTCATTGTATTTATTGTGGATTTATTTATTTCCTCAGTATGGAAATCAGCTTTTGTTGTTCCTCTATTAAAAGGGGGCGACCCAGCAGTGTTAACTAACTACAGACCAATATCTAATCTATCTGTGCTGGCCAAAGTTCTTGAAGCTCTTGTGTGTGAGCAGTTAAAGGAGTTTTTGCACACCAATGCCATTTTATCTGAATATCAATCAGGCTTTAGGAAGAATCACAGTACTATCACAGCTGCAATTAGAGTGGTAAATGATATTACTATTGTACTTGATAAAAAACAACACTGTGCATCCCTTTTTATTGATTTGTCAAAAGCATTTGACACTGTTGATCATTGTATTTTAAAACTTAGACTCTTCCAGTCAGGACTCTCTGAGAGAGCAGTGGCATGGTTCTCAAACTACCTCAGTAACAGGACTCAGTGCATTAAATCTGACGATCTATGTTCTGACTTTGTTACGTAAACAATCTTAGTCTACATGTGCCAGATGCAAACTTGCACTTCTATGCTGATGATACAGTTATTTACAGCTGTGGTTCAACTCTTGTCCAAGCCATCGACTCCTTGCAGAAAGCCTTTTCTGCTGTCCAGCACTCATTACATCAGCTTAAACTTGTTCTCAGCGCAGACAAAACAAAGCTCATGTTGTTTTCTAAATCAAGGAGACGAGCCCAAACAATCCCATCAGTAACCACTCACACCTATAAATATCTGGGAATCTTAATTGATGACTCGCTTACCTTCAAACCACATGTAGAGAATCTTGTGAAAAACCTGAAGTTAAAACTGAGATTTTATTTTCAAAATAAGTTGTGTTTCTCTTTTAATACAAAGAAGCGGCTTGTTGCTGCAACATTCTTGCCTGTGCTGGATTATGGTGATATTCTATACATGAATGCTTCTGCTCAATGTCTTCGAATGGTTGATTCTGTGTATCATGCTTCTCTGAGGTTCATCACTAACCGTAAATTTCAGACTCACCACTGTGAGTTATACTCTCAGGTAGGATGGCCTGCTTTGGTAAGTCGGAGGCACTGTCATTTATACAGTTTTATATATAAGGCGATACTTGGGTTGCTCCCTTCTTATATATGTTCCCTGCTTGTAATGAAACATGCTGGTCGGTATTCTCTTCGTCCGCATGGTTACTTGTTGCTTTCTGTTCCATTTGCCCGAACTGAACTTGGTAAAAGAGCTTTTGTCCATTTAGCACCCTTGGCCTGGAACAAACTGCAGAAGGAATGGAAAATGACTGAATTCCTTTCATTAAGTGATTTTAAATCTAAACTACGAATCCTTGAGGCCAAGTCCATAACATGCAACTGTTTCAATTAGATTGATTATCATTTTAACTGACTTTTTTATTTTATTTGAATTTTATTGAATTTTATTTTAGTTTTTTATTTGTATTCTTTCACATATTGTTGCATGTGTGTTGTTGCTGCCTGTGTTTGAGTAATTTCTGTAACTGTGAGACATCTGCTGCTGCCTATCTTGGCCAAGTCTCCCTTGAAAAAGAGGTTTTTAATCGCAATGGGATCTTCCTGGTTAAATAAAGGTTAATAAATTTGTATTTATTATACATTTATTTTAACTTTTTCTCACTCCAAATATTTTTCCTAGTATTTTTTTAAGTGTGCTTTAATGGTAACACAGCAGGTTGATTTAGGTTACTGTGCTGTTTTTGGTATTATGCTGCCCAAAAAGCCCTTTGTGACCTAGATTGTCTGCTTTGAGAGACAATGACTGCGGTAGCACGGATAAAATAATCTGAACTGTGTTCCTAATTCTCCCTGTGTGTGTGTGTGTGTGTGTGTGTGTGTGTGTGTGTGTGTGTGTGTGTGTGTGTGTGCGCTTCCAATCACAGGTCTGGATTTTTTTATCTTTTGCATCTTTTTTGTCATTACCTTAAAGAAACCCTGCACAGTAATCACTTTCTCTACTGCATGTTCACAGTGGTCACCCTCTTTTGTAATGTCTGAATTCATTTTCTTTCCAGTCAGAAGGCAAAACAAGTTGCTTAGTGTCTGTCTCAGTCTTTTCAGTGGATGATTACACAGATGTTTACGTCGGCCTAATAAGAGTTCTTGGAAGATTTTATCTGGTGATAGAGAGCCTCTGAACAGCAATGCCATTCCCTAAGGCATCTGCAGGCGTGCACCATGGGTTTGTTGTGCTGTGACAACAGTGTTGGGAGTTACGTGTTATTGGGTGTCAGAGTGATTAGATCACTACTGATGTTCCTCTGACAGGAAATCAGCTGCACAAGACTGTATCCAAGTCAGTCAGGTCATAAAGCATTCAGGCAAAGAGGGCATTAAGTAGTTGTATCATTTGTTGTCAGGTGATAATGAATGTCTGCCACGACTAAAGCTGCCACTCTGTAGGAAACTAACAAGCCGATTGCTGGTGAGATGGTTGAGGGTATTCTGCCAGTGCTAACCTGCTGAGGATATATTAGGATGGAGAATTTCTGAATGTATAACCACAAAGCTAACTTGTTATGTAACAAATTAGTATTAAAAGTAAGATTACCCATCACTTGATCAGTTTGCACAACTGGAACATTGTCATTAAATCATTGTTATTCAGCTACTGGGTCAAGCAAATCGGTGGTGGTTACGAATTGGAAAACACTTTATCTTTCTGTTTTCTGTTTCTTTGTTCTGTTTCGTTAATTCACTTTGTGACTATGATACTAATAAAACATCATATTTATTTAAAATAGAGTTGAGTTCGAGACCCATTTTTTTGTTTCTTATTTACTTCAAACCTTTTCTTCCTAAACTTGACATTATCACTGAGCTGATAGTGTGAGTTAACTCTGTTAGCTGCAAACACATTTGCTGGATTGTTACATTTGTCTGCTATGTGTGGTGTCCTGTGGCCCGCGAAGATTATTTCTTCATTTTTTCCCTCCTTTCCTTATTTTTTTTTGTTGGTAATAGAGAGTTTTGAAGCTCATTAACGAGTTTAAGTGAGCTAACTCTGTTTGACCCTATTCCAGGATGTCAGCATCCCAGTAAAATCCCTCCACCTTCATTACTCCATTGTGATTGCAAACGCATGCTTTTGAGTGCTTACCTTCATTAAATAATGGCACAGAAAACCCCCCCAACAACATCAGTCGGTGTTTACAGTTCAAATCATACATTAACCGTATTGTGCCGCTGGATAATGACAAGAACCATTCTTCTTACTATACACTACCCTGGATATTTATGTAATAATACAATGTGGCAGATTTTCAATTAATGGATCCTTTAAGATAACATAATGAATTAGTGAGTGTTGTTGAATGTCCACACATGCATGTTGACTGTGTAACCTCAGGGAAATTTATAGGCATGTAGGTAGTGAGCTACCTCTCCCATAGGCCAGATTAGATTAGAAAGGATTCGCTTATTTTCCCGGTACTAAATGTAACGTATGAAGTCACACGAGTTGATGTAGTTGATGTAATTTCTCAGAATCAGTAGAGAGCTAAGTATTACATATTTCTGTTACAGTATTAACAGCTTAACCAAGAAAGTAGTGAAGATATATAAATAATTAAACAATTTTTTTTGACATTTATCTTCTTAACTGAGCAGCAGCGTTCATTTGTCTAAATCAAATACTGTAAAGAAAGGTCACTGAAACATGCATTTCAAGTAAAGCGACATTTTGAGGAGTTGATTTTTTACTGTGAACCAAAATAAATAAATAAATAAAAGGTGAGGTTGTGCATTTACAAAGATTTCCAGTGTAAGGTAATGGTTCCTTTGACATTCAAAAATGTAGAATGTGAACATAAGATTTTTTGCTTCAGTCACAGATGTTTATACTGTACTGTGTATCATGACTGTATAAACTGGGGTTGTCTCTGCATATAGCTCAGAAGTGGGATTTACACATTGGTAATCTCTGACAGATGTACAAACAGATGTTATCCAACTGATCCATTGCAACATCTGTCCAGGTTCAGCCCTGCCTGTTGGTATCGATGTCCAGGTGGAGAGCATTGACAGCATTTCTGAAGTAAACATGGTACGCACCTTTTAGATTTCAGTAGTTAATCTAATCAAAAGAAACTGACTTGTTTTCTCTGTTGAAAATGACTGGTTTTTTTTGTTTTTTTTGTAGGACTTCACCATGACTCTCTACCTGCGGCATTACTGGCAAGATGATCGCCTGGCCTTCCCCTCCAGCAGCAACAAGAGTCGGACCTTCGATGCACGTCTGGTGAAGAAAATCTGGGTTCCAGATGTGTTTTTTGTCCACTCTAAGCGTTCTTTTATCCATGATACAACCATGGAGAACATCATGCTGAGGGTTTATCCTGATGGAAATATTCTCTACAGTGTTAGGTAAAAAAAAAAAAAGATATATGTCTCATTGTATTCATAGAGAGATCACTATAATTGCATTTTCTGTCATTAAGCAGTAGCCAAAATAATGGCTAATACTGGCTGTCATTATCTTGTCTTTTTGAAATTAGAAGGGCCTAAATTTGATGAAATTGATTGGGATGCTAAAGTATTAGCTAACACTATCTGGTAAGGTGGATCTACAGACTCCAGGCTCTGATAAATAGTGTCAACATTAAAATAAAAAATGTTAACATTAACACTGATTAACATTAACATTCATTTTTAAAGGATTTCATTCTTTTTTGGATAAGTGTTAGGACAATTACCTGCACATGAAGATGAGCCAATATAGATAATGCAGACATGCATTAATTCAGCTTTCTTACTAGTGGCCAGCAGGGGGCAACTCTTTAATGAATTCGTGTGAAGTCTATAGGAAAAGGAGCCTACTGCTTCCTCTAAATATTGCCTTTGTGAATTATGGTCTGAAGTCAAAAAGGAGGATGAACTTGTGTTTTAGGGTGGGGTTGTGATTGGCATATTGTTACCTTGTGAGCACAGTGTATTGATTTCTCTGTCAAACTGAAGCATCGGGCTTCAAAATACGACACAAACACAGTTTCAAAATGAGACCACCAATCGGTGACGTCACAGTGGCTACATCTGTGTTTTACGCACAGCCTGTGTTATCGATTTACTTTCGGGGCCAGGCTCAAATGGCCATTAGAGAAACTGTATTGGTGTTTGCTCCAGCTGGTTTCAGTTTTCAGCCCTGAGGTGCGGTTTGCCAAAAATCAGACCAATGAAGGCATTTGCACCAAAACCCCTTGTACAGTATATACAAATTAGCAAGGGTTGTTAAACCATCAAGTTTTAAGCTTACATGTCCTAATACAATGAGTTATGGCTTAAATTTTACTAAGACTGTTTGATGAGCATGAACATCACCACAGCCCAGTTTAGTGGGCAGGGTATGAAGTGAATATGAGAAGGTGGAACGTAAGCTCCCAGACGGCATTCAACATATCCATTTCAGTCACAGACGATGACAATATGGCACAAATTCCCAAATGGCCAACAGCAGCCACAAACTGTGTCAGGCACAGATGCTGTTACTGAATGAATCAATTCAGTCCGGTAGTTTTATTTTACACTGTTTCACTGAGATTACTGCAATATTTATGTAGGTATTTATTTAACTGAAAGCTGTGTTTCAGGATCACTGTGACGGCTCTTTGCTCAATGGACTTCAGCAGTTTCCCTCTGGACACACAGAACTGCTCTCTGGAGCTGGAGAGCTGTGAGTATTAAGCTGCAGCCGGGACATCGTGGTTGCTTGCAAATACCTAATAGGATATCCAGTGTTGTTTGCAGAGTAATAATGTTAATTCCTACATTAAATGTACTTGTTCTTGTGCTGACATGTTTCGCTGGTAAACATGTTACACAACATTTGATGCACTATTATGTAATTTAAAAAATTTGGGCTAGAGAAAGCTTTGAGCTTGTTAAATTTTCAAACACTATCTATTTTCTGCACAAAAACGCAATTGGATATGCTTGAATGTTATACAGTTGGGACAGAGACAGCTCAGAGTGCATTACCTTACTTCATACTCACAGTAGTAAGCATCACCATCCCCCTTTTGCACAAATTATTTATAATCCTCGGGTCATTCAAGTCAGCCTCTGTGCATTATGCTTGTCTATCCTCATGATGCAGGATTTACTGCAATGTTTGTGAATTCTTTGGTCTTTACTGCTCTCTCTCACTCTGTGTGTCTCAATCATGGATCCTGATCTCAGGGGAGAGTTGGTAGTCCCATTTTTGGCAGCTCTCTCCTCTCCTCTGAGAGAAACATCCATGAAACTTCTAAGAGAGGCAATACGCGAAGGTGTCCAACCCCAAACGCCCACCCTCTTTCTCTCCTCTCTTGAAGATGCTTACAATGAGAACGACCTAATGCTCTACTGGAAGAACGGGAATGATTCATTAAGGACTGACGAGATTGTGCTCTCTCAGTTTTTTATTGAAGACTTCCAGCCTTCCTTTGGGCTAGCCTTCTACAGCAGCACTGGTATGTCCGGCAGGAGTCTGGGGACACTCTGTGATGTATTCATTTTGAAAAAAGCCAGAGTGCTCCAGACCCCTACAGTTTTTCTAAATAGGAACAGTTTAACATTTTGGAAAATACGCATTACATAAAAAGATTTGACACCACTCTTACAGTCGTTTTCTATGGAGATGCAGCCAGCAGTTGATTAACTTGTCCAAGCTTGTGAAAACAGCTTAACCGGCAAAGGCTACAAAATCCAATAACCAGCATCTGTACAGTTTACCAATGAACACATTATTCCCATTTCCAGTCATAATGCTTTGCTACAGTAACTGTGTACGGGCGAAAGCTTTTATATGTACACAGACATGACTGAGTGCTATTGATTGTTTAGGTTCTCTGTGAGAAAGAAAATAACCACATTTTCCAAAATGATGACATGGGAATCAATCCCTCTCTGCAAAGCAGAAAGGTATTGATTATGCAAGGTGTTTTAGAGTTGTATGGTCTACTTTTTCAAACCCAGTTTCCTTTTATTGTTGTCTGTGTAGAAAGAAACACTAGAATTGGAGAAAGAGAGATTTTCATCTCAGTTTTAAAATTTTTTGTGAGGGAACCTACAGTATCCAATCTACGAAGATGTTGTGTAACTCTGGCATTAAAGAGATTTGCTCTCTCATTTGAGTTCTAGGTTCTCCCCGTAGGTTCATGTTAGACTCTTATTTTTAATAAGGACAACTTTATTTTCTCCTGTCAGTTACTGATATCACCCTGCTTTCCACCTGCCTGCACTCCACTGTGTCCATTTATCTGTTTCAGGTTGGTACAATCGGCTCTACATAAACTTCATTCTAAGGCGGCATATCTTCTTCTTCATGCTTCAGACGTACTTTCCCACCATGCTGATGGTGATGCTGTCCTGGGTGTCTTTCTGGATAGACAGGAGAGCCGTACCTGCCCGTGTCTCCCTGGGTACTAAGCCGTTGAGCCAATACGACCAACATAAATAATTACCGAAATTGTATTTTCATCTGGACCGATAAAAAAATATCACCATGCCTAGTTTTTACTTTAAATTCATCTTTCCATTGATTAACTTTTTGAGAGTGAAATGGTAAGATTGATTCCACTCCCTTGTTTGCCAAATACTGGAGAGATTAGGCGTAAATCAGTCAGGAAGCACATCGTCTCATCAAATAATTACACCTTGTTTTTGAGATCTAATTGCCCGTATTTAAACTGTGAGAAATTCCCCATAAGGAGGAAGGAGTGGAGGAAGTTTGTCAACCAGGAGACCCCAGTTTGCTTGGTATTTTGATAGCTTCGTGCTTTGCGCATTTTGTTATGATTTCACTTGTTATTTTCTTTCTCTTTCCAACTGCTATTTGGTTAAAGTTCAGGAAAGTAGTGGGGTTTGGATTAAAATATCCTGTTCACAAGATTCTTATGTTATAAGTTAGTGAAACTCACTAACTCACATCATTGTTTTACAATAGGTTCTCACTTAGGTGCAATGACCTGCAATGACAATGATAGTGAAGTTCCCAGCAGCCAAACAGTAGATATTTCCTGGCTTATGGACAGGAGAGATGAGTGTCACTGTTCTAATCTGCCGCTCAGCAAGAAAGCAAATAAGCATATCCAACGGTGTCTGCTGGTTCACCATCTATGTTTTCCCCCTCCTACACAGTTAGCTTACGCAAGGAGACGCCATCATTAAGGCTGGGCTATTTTTGGAATCAGACAGACTCCAAATTCCAATTCTAAAAGCTTTACGAGCAAAAGAGCACTAAATCAGAGTTAAGCTAGTTTGCATCCAGCAATGATGTAATAATGACTTTGCCTTCTGTAATTAATGAACATAAATACACTTGCATGGTTATATGCTTGTCAAAACCCTGAGGATGATGATAAAGGATATGCCCTTTCAAGCCCACTGCCCTTTACCACGACTAAAGTATTTCGATTACATTATCACATTTGCTGTGATTTTTATGGCACAATTGTTCATACACTGAATTCACATTGGTACATAAAAGGTCTTCAAAGGATAATTTCTTGTTATTACTTGTTTGTAGCTACAATAACATTATTCTCTGCAATGTTTCTGCAGCAACAGTCACAACTGGTTTTTCTGTATCCAGGCATCACCACCGTACTGACAATGTCCACCATCATCACCGGTGTGTCGGCCTCTATGCCACAGGTGTCTTACGTAAAAGCTGTAGACATCTATCTATGGGCGAGCTTCCTGTTTGTCTTTCTGTCAGTCATCGAGTACGCTGCGGTCAACTATTTCACCACAGTGGAGGAGATGAAGAAGCTGAAGAGAGCAAAGGTCAAATTCTTTCTAAAATCTTCTCAAATCTCCTGTCCTATTTAGGCTACGGTATGCAGCCATAAGACAATCTCCAGAAACTAACAGTGATCTGCTCTCCTCTCTCTGCAGATGCCCACCTCTTACAATGCTGCTGAGGCTATGGCCTTTGATGGGTGTTTCCACGACAATGAAATTGACCTGGCCTCCCTCCCTGCCAGCACCCCAAATACAGAGAGGAACATCCAGTCTCGAAACTCGACTGTCTCCGCACCCACAGAAGGCACCAGGCTACATCGCAAGCACCCTTTAAAACGAAACCTCAGCTTCATCATGAGCAACAGCTACATGATCGACTCATACTCCAGGGTATTATTCCCGCTGGCTTACCTGCTCTTCAACATCATTTACTGGAGCATGTATGCATAGCACATTGAGTAAGCAGCAGAAAAAAACAAAAGAACTGTTCCTTTTTTGACTCTTGTCACAACTGCACAAATGAACAAAAACAGACGGATAATAATAATAATAATTAATTGATGACATGAATTCAAGTCTGCTGAGTATAGATGTCCTTCTTGATGTCTAATGAAAAAGTGTTCGGCTGTAACTTGAAGAAAACCTGAGAGCGGCCGTGGAAGTGAACGGCTGATAGTTTAATGAATGTTTACGTGTGTTTCTGGCATGCTTGATTTTATAACAGAAAGAGTTTTTATCCAAAATGCATAAACATTTGTAGGATTTTGTTTTATTGCTGGATCAGATACATCCATACATCCATACATTAAATACAGTACATTTTGAAAATAAATATGTGTATGCTCTTAAATGTCTGACTCAGGCTTCACATTCTCTTTGCCTTGAACTTTATTGATATTTAGTGCATCACACTTTCAACTGAAGGGGCCCAGTGGAGCACTTATAAACAAGTTCATGTTTAATATCATCCTCACCTGACAGAAAATTGTGTGTAAAATTTGCAAAAACTTTAAAAATTTGCTGAATGTGTTGAATTTCAAAAACATTTCATTTAAATGGTTTCAAAGATAAGACTCGGGGGGCCTTCATCAGCCTGGCTAACACCCCAATCTAACCCAATGGGAAAATGTGAAAAAGGGCATAAATTTTGGACTTGTAATTGCATTTCCCCCAGGGCCATTCATACCACACCAAAGAAATGAAGTAATAGATAAACAGTACAATGAAAGAAAATTTCCCCTTTTGCAGTATCTACTGTAGAACTTCGTTTTTTCTGTGGACTCACAGTGGGAAAAAGGGATATTTTCTGTGAATTAACTGTTGTATAATTACAGTCTTAGCAATGAGTTACAAAAACGTTTTCTTTAATTTTACACAATTGCTTCCTAAAATTTAAGCCCAAAGACTCATGCTGACAGGTTTCTTTCATTTACTACAGCAGCATTCCTTTTGTTATATTAAGATATCTGAAGAATTAAATATGTTGTTAAACCCCAACCTGAGTTTTTCCAATCTGCCCCACTTATCAAACTGGGCTGTATAAATTTGACATCCTGCTATAGATCCATATCTATTTGACAGTAGTGTGTTCTTTTACTGACCTCTGTGAATATCTTGAACACTCTCTGCAGATCAAACCAAAAACACTAAGCATGTTCAGGAGAACACAGCTTTTGTTTTTCCTCAGAACTCCTGGCTCTTCAGGTGTCAAATGTGTGCCCTGTGTTAGTGACTCGGTATTAAAATCATGCAATCATACCTACACCTTCTCATGACCACAATGGGAAACTTAATGGTCTTCACAGGTTGACACAAATTATAAAATAGACACATCTGACCTTACATCCAAATAAGGACTAAGTTGCATGCTGCACACAGTCCTGAAAGCAACACAGGTTTTTCTATACGAAATGAAATATCTTGGGTAATATCCGGTGCACAATAACTGCATGGAAATAAAAGAAAGACATTTTCAGCCACTCCCTTATTCACAAGGGGTCACAACAGCAAGCCATGCCGCATGTTTATTTTGGTGCAATTTACCTGACTACCTGATGTAACCCCAAAGGGCTTTGAGCCTCCAAGGCAATCGCATGGAAATATGTTAAATTTATTAGTGGATGTAGAATGTGAGGGGGAAATGGAAAAGGTTCACTCAGTTGCATAACAGTGTGCTGTGGAACAGAAAGCCAGCAGGACACCAGACTGATAATACCTGCAATGGAAGAGCTCAGCGGGAGGCATCTTAATTCAAATTAGGTCTAAATGTGACCATTAGATATTAAAGCTTTACAAAAAAAAAAGCCCTTTGTTTTTTTTACAGTTAAACATCTTGAGAAATATGCACTAATTTCCTCTTTTGGTGAGGAGCAACATAGATACTGCTCATTTCTATATCTTTAGCACGATACCGCAGCTAGGAAATGATTACCTAGCTAAGCAAAGCCATTAAAAACAGGGGAAGTAGCTAAAGGATACAAAAAAATCGGGCTAGCAACATCTCTAATCATATAGCTACTCTCTTACAAGGTTATCCAACTAGTATCACTGGGCATCTACTTTAATAAATAATACACACATTGTTGCATTCTCAGTTA